ATTTATATAATATTAGTCATTAAATAATATGAACTATCATATTTAATTATTCATATTTTATAATTTATCATAGGTTAAATACTCTTACTTTTTTTATTTATAATTGAATACTATATTTTATTCTTTTTTATTGCAAAATTAGGGCCTCTCCAAGTTAGTTTGCAGGTTTCTTAAGATTAATCTTTTCTTGAACAATTTTAAGATATAGTCAAATTTATTTGGTGCATTCAAATAAATTAATTTTAAAATCAAAACTCTAAATTTGATAAATATTACATTTCTAAATTGAAAAAAAAAACATTTTGACTTTGGAAAAGGATTTATGTATGATTTCTTCATAATTTAATAGAATAAAAAAATTTTCAACCCTACTATTTCTTACCCACTAAGTATATTCTCAATTTTATGAAACTCTATATATGATAAAACTTAACATATTGAAGAATTCTTTTTCTTTAAAATTAACCATTAAATCTATAATTTTATAATTTAAATTATATTATATTATAAAATCAATACCATCAAATAAAAAGAGCTTACACTTATATCATAAACACTTCTCTCATTTAATAGATAATTTTATGCAAGCTTAATACAATCTAAACCATAGAAGACAGTAACGTTAACCATGCATTTTCGACTGCAAACTCAACCTCCTTTTTTTATTTTTGGGTGAGGGTGAGGGTGAGGGTGAGGGTGGGGGTGGGGGTGGGAAGGAGGGGGAGGGCCTTAGAACGAAACTCAGCCCTTGAGGAACGTCCAGGTGCATGAAAAGCGCCGCCCTCTTTCTGTTGTCGTTGGGTCAAACAGTGGAACGCGACGCTTTTTGACTTTGGAATTGGAATTTAACGTGTGGAATTTTGGACTCTTTTTTTTTTTTTTAATTTTATGAAGATAGGCAATGAGTGGAATTTTGGACTTGATTCCCGCCTTCACTGCCATTCCAACAACCACATCATACTTTTGTTTTGTCATATTTTGTGTTGTAATTACAGTTTCGAGATTTGTGCCTCCAACCAATGACGTGATTAATTTGATGATTATTTTTATTTGTTAAAAATAAAATTTTTTAAATTTGAATCAAAATAATACGTATTTAAAATAAGATAAGATATAAAAATTAATTATTTTTTGTTATGTAATTAAAATAAAAAAAAGCTTGTACCTCAAAATAAACTATTAATTTTGGGTATAAAAACATTATAAATATTTTCTATTTTATTATTAAAAAATATATAAAATATTAATTAAAATTAATAAATTTATATTTTTATATTTTAAGATAATATATTGCATAAAAATATCTATAAGAAGTACTATCATACAATATCTTACTCATTTATTAAATTATTAATAAAATTTAATTATTTAGTATTAAATTTTAAACTTGGACTATAAATCAAAATTTTATTATTATTGAACAACAAATTAAACTAATACTTAATGTCTTAAATTATTTACCCAATTGATCATTTAAAAAATGAAAAATTATTTGGGGGAAAGGATGTAAGTTCTTATGGATTTTTTATTTAACACTTTGCAAATTCTGACGTAATTAAATAAATCCAAACTCTTAACAATTTCGCATATCCATTTACATGTGAACCTTTTTTTTTTCTTCTTTTTTTCTTTTGGTAATATCCATTTGCATGTGAATTGAGGTAGGCTAAAGCCATATGACATTCACAAGATTACACGTCTTTGCCTTTTATTTCACAACGTCATCCATCCATTTGTGGCCAACAGGCATCGGCTCTACTTGGGGCATCACTTTCATACAAAAAGTTGAATAAAAATAGGGTGAAAAATAAAAAACCAGTCTCAATCTCATCCCAAAACATAGTTTTCCTGGGATTATGTCACATGATGTGTTGGTCTATGCATAATATTGAATCATTCGGGTAAAAACAAATTAATGTAGTTTAGACAAAGTACTCACGATATGATTATGAATTTTGCCATAAATTATCATAAAACATAAAGTAAAACCAATAAATTAAGAAACAAATTTGCCTACCAACTGCATATATGAGTCACTTGTAGTTGAGAATCAAACACAGTTTCATGAGGATAGTTGTTGGTCATTATTTGCACAAGTTGGGTAAGGAAACATAAATGAAACTGATGATTTGGTAGAATTCTTGTTGGGTAATAAAACAACAGGCGTGAATTGAATTCAACTACACAAAAGTGACAATCATATGTTCTTACACACTTCGTATATACAGGATGAAACCTAATCGATTGAATTGGTCAAAGTTAATGAGAGCTTTCTCAAAATTATGAAACTTGGGGATGTTAGAAACAAGATTTGTGTAATAATTAATGTATGGAAAGTACATTTGTACTGTACCCATTTTTCCTTGGAAATCAAGGAAACCCGGCTTGCTTTTTCAGCTGTCTTTGAAAGAATTAATTAAACAAGTACTGCTAATTAATCTTCCTGGGAATTAATGTTCTAGAGGATTGGAACATTCCATTTCTATCTTTACTCTCACTGTTAAAAATGATTAAGCCTATGTAAGCAAATGGTTGAGTTGGCAAAAAAAAAAAAAAAAAACCTTCACTTAGAGTAAAAAATAGTCAGTTGAAACATTTACGATACTAAATAGATAACCTTTTAATATATTAAAAAGAAAATTCGGTACATATCCCCAGTTAGTTTGACATTATTAGAATTAAAATTTTTTATCTTGATTTAAAAAAGGAATTTTAAATGAAGAGGGATTTATTCATGGGAAAATTTTATACATTACACTTACACAAAATCTTAAATATTCATTTCTCTATTTTCAAAAATTAAGATTTTTCATGACATTTTTGGTAAAAAAAATTATACTGAATAAATGTGAATAAATCTCAATAATTGAAAAGTGAAGAGATGAATAGTGAATATTTTTTATAAGTATAATGTATAAAATTTATATGTAAATAGATCTCTATTTATTTTAAGTTAATAGGTGCGAATTAACTAAAATGTTATTGGTTTGAGAGAAATATGTATTAGCGAAGGGAAAGAAATAGGTTATCTTATTTCTTAATGCAACTCAATAATGAAAAACAATTAGCATACCATAGGTTCATATTTTATATGCATTTGGTTCTTAAATTTAAAGTTTCATGGGTAGAGGCTACCCCACAAAAAGTTGTTAAAATTAGTTTCCAAAACTGACCCAAATTAATAAGAATGAATATATTCTTTGTAAAAAAAAAACGAAAAAAGAAAAAAGAAAGAAAAGACTAATGAATATTCACATATTAAAATGCTAAGAGGAAGGCAAAAATACGTATAAAACACCCATTGGCATTGCCAATATAAGATTTTCTTTTGGTATAATTGTCCAATAGTATTTTGGGTCAGCCTAATTTTAGGCACTACACTGACATTAATTAGTAAAGTTAGAAGCAAATTTTATTGTCAACTAATCCAGGACCTCTTCAATTAGAGAAAAAAGAATTAATTATCTACAAGATAGATTAAAATTCTTAGAAATGAGTTTGGATTCCAAAACTTTTAATTATCTATTAAAAACCCATTTTGTTGGGTTTAATAAACAGGTAAGTTAATCGTGCTGATTTTTGGTATTAAAAATTGATGTCTTTCTATTTTGTTCGCCAGTCAAAATTCAATGATGTTATGAGAAAAATTAGTCCAAAAAGAGTTGTATACGAGAATTGGTTCCCCACAACAAATCGGTTTCCCATTTCCAATTTCCCATCTCTAAGGAATGGATAAACAGATAAACAAGAACTTGACTAATGGGCTGGGTAAAAGAAATATTATTTGCCTTTTCTTTTTTTTTTTTTGACAAAGATAATAGTTAGTAAGTTAGTTTTATTAATTGTTAGCAACTAGGGATTCAATCCCCAGATCTAGTGAACATCCCACATCCCTCAATGAGGACGCACGACCCATCGGGCCATTTAGTAGAGTTCGAAATATTATTTGCCATTTATTCAATCAAGATTTAAGGGTTTCTAGTCACATTTTTTTTCTTTATCCTTTAAAAATTATAGTTTATTCAAAAAAAAAAAAAAAAGATAAACGGATAAACAAGCAACTCCCCACAAGTCAAAGCCATATTTTAATTGCATTTCACCCCATGCCAAAATGTCAAAAGGAAACGCCGTGGGGGGTTAGGAGAGTGGAGAGGTGGGGTTGTGTGTTGTGACTTATGGGAGCAACTGACCCAATCCAAAGGTTCCAAATGCCCATATGAGTTTTCAATAGTTGGGCCAATTCAGCATCTAGAATAAGTGATGTATGGCCTCATTTATTTGTGTTAGTGACTTGAGGCTTGAAAATTAAGGTTTAATACTCACAAGAAGTAAATCAGGTTGGTATTTATTAATTTAAAAATTTTAATTTAAGGTGAGAGTTAAAATTTTAAATCTTATATATTGTTAAGTAATTAATTTTTTAATATACCAAAAAAAAATTGAGACTTAGATGCTTCGTTAGTGAACGTTAAGCAGTCCTTTAGTTATAGGTTTTTTGTTAATATAATATTATAGCTAGTAATCAAAATAAATATTAATTGTCTTAAATATATTTTATAAGGATGGTTACAGCCCAATATTTTCAAGCGATGGTCTACTTTTTGTATCAATAAAATATGCAAACACTTTCAATGATACTTTGTCGTATTCCAGATTTACATTTTCTAGGGAAGAAACAATTTTATCCCCTTTATCGTTGTGTGCAATCTCTTCAGTCTTGTCCTCAACATCATAATATTGTCTTCTTTTCTTTTTTTTTTTTACTGTTAAAATACTTTCAAATTAACTCTTATCTACTTCAAGATTATTTTTTAAAATAATTTTAAAAGTATATTTTTAATGTATTTAAAAAATTATTTTTTAAATGTTAATTACACAACTTAAATATTATTTGTAATTGTAGAAAAATATTGTAATTGTGAATTTCTTAATATTTTATTATAAAAAATTATATTATTATTTAATACTTACTTTAGAAAAATTTATACATTAATATAATTACAAAATTATATAAAATATTAATTAAAATTAATTTTAATTACTATAAATTAACACTTTTATAAGATTTTATAAAAAGAATAACACCAAACATAAATGTTGAATGTAAGTCATCTACTTATAAAATCACACATCCTTACCCAACTCTTAATATTATAGTATTTTTTTATCTTGATTGCACAGGTGGTTATCGGACGGTGATCAGCGGAGCTATTCAGGAGCATCATCGGAATATTCCTCACAAAACGGTGACGAAGATCCAGAATTTAGTATGGACGAGATTAGCGCCGAGGATGATGATAGCATTGATTTGGAGCAGTTTCAAAAGGAAGGAGTTTTGAATTCAAATAATAAGGATATAATGGGTTAGGCGGAAGTTGGCATGAGTGGCGGGATTGAACAGAATCAGGGAGATGGGAGGATGGTGGACTCGCATGGGCTGGTAAAGGATAATGGGTTGATAGATGTTATTGGGCCGGGAGTTAGTCTTACTGGGATGGTTGAACATTGTAAAAGCTTAAGGCCCAATGACATAGATCTAGAAGGATCCGCACGTGACAAGGTCGGTAAAGAGGTGATGGGTAAAAGGATGAGGCAAATTGCAAATTGCTATTGTTGAAAACTGATGCAAAGTGGTTATTGTCTTTATCTAATTTGTTTTTTAGTTTGTTATTTAGTTTGAATAAGTCTTCCTGATTTTTCTTCAGAGAGTGGGGTAGTTGCTGTTTTTTAGGATAATTTGTTGAGTTAGTTTTGCCCATAATTTCAGTTAAAGTACAGTACGTGGGTATCATGTTACAATCCCACTACTTAGAGTTCCAGTATATATTTATATGTTTTTTCAATGAATTTAAGTATTCAGAAAGTCATCTTTTACTTCTCAATCACTTTGTTATCTATCTCCATTTTTTCTGTTCTTCTCCAACAAATTGTGGTATCAAAGCCAAGTTCGATTGGTTTTTTTTGTGAAGTTGAGACCATTGCTGAAGCAAAGGGATCTCAGAAGCTGTAGCTATTTTCATCATGGCCAGCAATTCAAATTCATTGAATTTGTCCCAATCCTTGGTACGCATATTCAATGGAGAAAACTATGTTTTTTGGAGTATTAAAATGAAGACCTTTTTTGTCTCACAAGATTTGTGGGATCTTGTGGAGAATGGGTTTGCTGAAACTGAGAAGTCACTAGCAGCAGAGGTGAAAGATCTTCGGAAGAAGGACGCAAAGGCATTGCTTGTATTGCAGCAAGCGGTAACTGACTCAATCTTTCCTCGGATTGCAAATGCCACAAAGTCAAAGGAAGCTTGGACCATTCTGAATCAGGAGTTTTATGGAGATGACAAGGTAACAATTGTGAAACTTCAAACTCTGCGTAAAGAATTTGAAAACTTATGCATGAAAGTAAGTGAGTCAGCTCAAGATTTCTTTAGTAGAGTTTCTGTCATTATTAATCAATTGAAAACTTATGGTGATCAAGTTGATGATTGTAAAGTTGTTGAGAAGGTTTTGAGGTGTCTACCATTTAAGTTCGATCATGTTGTAGCTGCTATTAAAGAGTCAAAGGATTTCTCTGTTTATTCTCTTAATCAATTGATGGGCTCACTTTTAGCACATGAAGAGAGAATGAACAAGTTTGCAGAGAAGAACATGGAGCAAGCCTTTCAAACAAAGGTAGAGATCTCTAGCCAGGAGAAAACTGATCACAGAGACTCTATTAGTAGAGGAAAAGGTAGAGGAGGCTACCGTGGTCGTGGACGAGGCCAAGGGGGATCAAGCTCAACTCATCAGAAGTACGAGAATGGACAAAGAGGTAACCAAAAGCAGAATTATAAGTGGAAGCAGTGCCATTTTTGCAAGAAACATGGGCACATCGAGGCAAACTGTTGGGAGAAGGCAAAGCAACAAGCAAACTTTGTTGAAGAAAAAGAAGTTGAAGAGAACTTGTTCCTCACCAGTTTAATTCCAAATGTCAGCAATTCTGACTTGTGGTTTCTTGATAGTGGATGTAGTAATCATATGACAGGTGTTAGAAGCCTTTTCCGGAATATCGATGAGACAGTGAAGCTGAAAGTTCGGCTTGGAGACAATAAGCAGGTGCAAATTGAAGGCAAGGGAACAATTGCAATTAGAACCAAGTCAGCTATCGAAAAGTTGATTCATGATGTTTATTACATACCTAACTTGGCACATAATTTGCTTAGTGTGGGTCAGTTGGTAGAGAATGGGTATTTGGTTGAATTTCATGATGGCTTGTGTGAAATCAAGTGCAGTAAATCTGATATGTCTCTTGCTAAGATTCCCATGGCTAAAAATAAAATGTTTCCACTTGAGATCTCATGTTTGAATGACCTTGCACTTGTTGCAAATGTTAAAGATGACTCCAAGTTATGGCATATGAGATATGGGCATTTGCATTTTAATGGGTTGAAATTGTTGAGTCAGAAAAAGATGGTTTATGGTTTGCCCTCTATTATTCCTATTGATGATGTTTGTGAAGGTTGTGTTTATGGGAAGCAGCACATAAATGCATTTCCAGTTGGGAAAGCATGGAGAGCAAAGGAGCCTTTGGAGTTAGTACATGTTGACATTTGTGGGCCAATGAGAAATTTGTCTTTGAACAAGAGGAAATATTTTTTATTGTTCACTGACGATTTTTCTTGTATGAGTTGGGTATTTTTCCTTGTTCAGAAGTCAGAAGCTCTTGAGAAATTTCAGGAATTCAAAGCTTTTGCAGAGAAAGAATGTGGCCATGAAATAAAAATTCTTCGAACTGATAGGGGAGGAGAATTTTTATCTAATGAGTTTGGTAGTTTCTGCAAGCAGAATGGGATCAAGAGGCAACTTACTGTAAGAAGAACTCCAGAACAGAACGGGGTTGCTGAAAGGAAAAACAGAACAGTTGTAGAGATGGCAAGGAGCATGTTGAATGAGAAGAAACTTCCACAAACCTTCTGGGCTGAAGCAGTTGCTATTGCTGTTCATATTCTCAACATTTCTCCAACAAAGGCAGTGCGAAATATGACTCGATATGAAGCATGGTGGAAACGGAAGCCCAATGTAAGTAGTTTGAGAGTTTTTGGTTGCATTTCTTATGCCATGATAGCTTCTAATGATCGTACAAAGATGGACCAGAAAAGTGAGAAGTGTATTTTTGTTGGATATAGTTGTGAGTCCAAGGGTTATCGTTTGTATAATCCTATTACTAAGAAGCTGATTATTCGTAGAAATGTTGTTTTTGATGAGAACAGTGCATGGGAGTGGAATGAAGGAAAGATTCGGCACTTGTCATATGAAGAAAGTGAATCCAGTGAGCCACAAGCAGAGGAGACGGAAGTTGGCCAACAATCTTCTCCTACACTGAGTTCTCCAACAAGGTTGCCACAATCTGCTCCAACTCCTCAACCTCGAAGGATGTTCACTAGAAGCATGTCTGGTGCCATTCTTAGGAAGGAAAAACCTTTGGAGCAAGTTTATGACCTAGATACTTATGCACTTCTGGTGGTAGAACCTACTTGCTATGATGAGGCATATGGAAAACATGAATGGGAAAATTCCATGAAGGAGGAGATAGATTCGATTGAGAAGAACAACACTTGGGAGCTTGTAGATAAACCAGAAGGGAGGACTCCAATTGGTGTGAAGTGGGTCTATGGAGTGAAGTATAAAGCAGATGGGAGTGTGCAAAAATACAAGGCAAGACTTGTGGCCAAAGGCTATGTGCAAAAACATGGTATTGATTTCCTTGAAACTTTTTCTCCTGTTGCTAGATTTGAGACTGTTAGATTGGTGATAGCATTAGCAGCTCAAATGAAATGGAAGATTTTTCAGTTTGATGTTAAATCTGCTTTCTTGAATGGTTGGTTGGAAGAAGATGTCTATGTTGAGCAGCCTGAAGGATTCATTGTTCAAGGCAAAGAAGAAAAGGTGTACAAGCTCAAGAAAGCTCTTTACGGACTCAAGCAAGCCCCACGAGCCTGGTATGGTAGACTTGATTCGTACTTGCATGATAATGATTTTCATCGCAATGAAAATGAGCCCACTTTGTATGTGAAGGTGAAAGGAGGTGATATTCTCATTATTTGTGTTTATGTGGATGATATTATTTACACTGGTTCTTCTAACATTCTTATTGAAGAATTTAAGAAGAATATGTCTGCTGAATTTGACATGTCTGATTTGGGGCTGCTGCATTATTTCCTTGGGTTACAAATTTACCAAACTGATTATGGTATTTTTGTTTCACAAGAGAAGTATGCATTGGATTTGCTGAAAAAATTCAACATGCAGAATTGCAAGATGTATGCTACTCCTATGAACACAAATGAGAAGTTGACAGTAGATGATGGAACTCCAAGAGCTAATGAGAAGTATTTTAGAAGTATGGTTGGCGGATTAATGTATTTGACTCACACTAGACCTGATATCATGTTTTCAGTTAGCTTGGTTTCAAGGTTCATGCATAATCCCTCTGTGCATCATCTTGGAATAGCAAAACGAATTCTCTGTTACATCCGAGCAACAAGCAACTTTGGAATTTGGTACAAGCCAGTGCCTGACTTTAAATTGCTTGGTTTTACTGATAGTGATTGGGCAGGTTCTGTAGATGACAGAAAAAGCACAAGCGGATATATATTTAATCTTGGCTCGGGTGCTGTATCTTGGAGTTCAAAAAAGCAAGAATGCACTGCATTATCTTCCTCTGAAGCAGAATATGTTGCTGCTTCATCAGTTGCTTGTCAAGCAATTTGGATGCGAAGGATTATGAAAGATTTGCAGCAAGTTCAAGAGAAGGCAACAAAGATCTTCTGTGACAACAAAGCAACAATTTTAATGACCAAGAATCCAGTGTTTCATGGAAGAACAAAACATATTGAGCTGCATCATCACTTTATCCGAGGTGCTGTTGCAGATGGATTAATTGCTTTGGAGTATTGTTCAACAAGTGATCAAGTCGCTGATGGATTTACTAAAGGACTCTGTTTTAGTAAATTCATGAAGTTCCGTAACTCACTTGGAGTTGCAGAGTTTGCATCAAGGGGGGATGTTGAAAACTGATGCAAAGTGGTTATTGTCTTTATCTAATTTGTTTTTTAGTTTGTTATTTAGTTTGAATAAGTTTTCCTGATTTTTCTTCAAAGAGT